ACTGGACTTATACGAATTTCAGTCCAGTCCAGTCCAGTAACTCGTGAGAGACTGGAATAAGTCCAATGACAACCCTGTTAAGTTAATATGTAACGGTAAACAAAGTATTACGGGATAAGTAATGTTAATATGTAACGGTAAACAAACTATTACGGCATAAGTAAAAATATTATGGAAACGGACTCGGCAAAAGCAGATGTTACGGCATAAGTCAAACGTAAATAAGAAGTTACTCTGTAAATCGGATATTAGGCCGAGGTCAAATTTTACGACACAGGTCAAATGTTACGCATACGTCGGTTATTGCATCATAATGTCACAGAGTTCGTCTAATTGACGTTATAACTTCACTATATCTTAACGTTGCATAGTGTAACCATCATAAGGGAGTTTAGCTCCGATGGTTGACATCAAGTAAAAACGTAAACTGTGCAATAAGTACGGAGCTCGGCATTTATTTTGGGAGAAGACATGAATTTAGAGCGCGTACATCTTACATTAACTAAGGACGATGGTGCACTTAATTTCTCATAATGTTAAACTAGGATCATAACATTTACATCAAAATCTGATAGCGCAACTTTGGCATAATTTTGTTTACGCGAAGATTGCGCGTCTACGCGAATTTTATGGTCTATACGTGGCTATATGTATTAAGCTAACAATAATGCATAGTAACAATAATACCTAATACTACTAAAGTAATATTAATATAGTTATGCCAACACAGACACATGTGAAAGTAAGGAATTGAAAAAGATAACTTATCGTTATATTGTATGTACAAACGGACGTACCATGAAGAATTGATACAATCTACGTAGTTCATGTATGTATGTTCATATATAATCATTACACAGCATATCCATATATGGCAAGATATATAGCAAAAATAGGTCGGTCAAAATTTTAAATTTCTAACAGTTCAGTATGTTTAGTAAACAACAATTTAATAAGGCTTTGTGCATATTGGTTTGTATAGTTCACGAATTCTATAATTATTTCAATATTATGTACACCACCTAACTAAATCGCTTTAAACACAAAGCTGATTCTCATTTATCAATTATTTCAATGATGTTTAATCTATCAAATGGGATCCATTCGATCATTCTTTATATTCTGTTGTTCTATATTGAAATCTATCATTTGGTTTTTAATATCTTATCTCATCCTCACATAAAAAAAATATTGACATCGTGCTAGTATCCATATTTTTCGCAAAAAGAATTACATTACTGTACCAATCTTAGCAAATCATTTACATATCGTGCGACTTGCATCAATATTTACATATTTTAATTTATATTTATTTAGAAAAAATACAAAAGGCTGCAAAAAAACTTTATTTGTTAAAATATTCATACCTTAAATATCCTTAGTCACGCTACGAATAATGAATGAAATTTAGAAAAATTAAAAATGTACCTGCAAACAAAATATTCAATGAAAACAATAAACAAAGAAATAATCCAAGAATATTCAAATCTCCAAATGGAGTAATTTTGAGAAATATCCGACCACATCAAATTTTACTTAAGCTTCTCCAGTATATATCTTCTCATAATTTTGGTCCTGCCAAATAACACTCTATTCTGAATTAAAAATGGGCGCCGATCCTTTTCAAATATTCGTTAATGGTATCGAAGGGAAGACGACCACTTATAATGAAATTACGCCAACAACTAAGTAATGATGATACGTGAAACTAAGAATGATAACGCTAAAACTAGCATTAATATTTATTTTCCTTTGGTATCTTCAGAGTGATAGACATTAAGAAAAAGGTTTTTGATAAAACTGGTATAAGTACCGAACAACAACGCCTTATTTTTGCCGGGAAACAACTCGAAGATCATAAAACTGCTGAGGACTATGGAATTACGAAATCTTCTACACTTCATTTGGTCCTTAGGTAGGAATATGTTATCGGAAATTGAGAAATAATGAAGATATTTATGTCATGTTTACATTTAATGGGTTATTACATCACAACATTTTCTTTCAGACTTCCGGGTGGCGCTAATGTGAAAAGTCATGATCCTGATGGTGGTGTTGAACTAACCAACGAGCCCGATATGATTACGTAAGTATATCCAGTTGCTTGTCTATTTCACTCTAGTCAATCTAAGTGGCCTTATTATCTATAGCTGGGAGGACGATCCAGACAACTTACGTGCCAAGGTAATAAATATCTTTCAATTGGCTTGAATTATAATCAGAGTTGTCACGTTTACTATGTTCGTTCTATTTGCTTATAATTCTATTCATTTTTTTTTTATTTTTCTGTTGTAAATTTTTAGTATTAAACTTTATTAATTAAATATAAAAATATTTTATATTTAATATATATTTAAATAATTGCAAATTATTAATAAAAATATTTTTTTATATAAAGATAAAAAAAATAAACTTTGCTCTATTGTTCTAATTGCCAACACTGATTATAATATAATTTTCTGTGTTATTTCTGAAATAACTCTGCTATTTCATATCAAAAATCAGCTCCAGAAATAGTTTCTATAACATGTATAACTTGGATTCAATATTTAATTTCAAATGCTTTTAACCCTTTTTTCAGATGCCATGTGGCCATGCTATTGGTCCCGAGTCCCTTACTGCCTTTTGCAGATCACTTGTCAGTGAAGGCAAATTTCAATTTTTTTGTCCCTATACCAATCGTGAGTACTCGCACATCTGTATTTAAAGTCAACTAGTAAATGTAATTGATAATGTTTCTTATACTTTATCTATATATATATATATACTAAGTGGAAAATGATGCTCGTTGCCGTAAGGAATGGCAATATGTTGATATCCGCAAGATAGGTTTACTTACTGATGAAGAGTGCAAATATTTTGAAGCCAAGATTAGTGAAAATTATTCTCGCCGTGCCTTCGGTGTTCAAGAATGTCCGCAGGTGTGATAAAAAATTACTTTTCGAGTTTTTTTGTCTCAACTTTTGTTAATTCCAAGCTTCCATCGGCAGTGCTCCACATTTTGTGAAAGAAGTGATAAGGATCGATCATCAGTAATCTGCTTGATATGCTCAAGAAAACCAGGCGTTAAAGAATACGCGTTTTGTTGGTACTGCCTACACCAAGTTTATAGTTTATGTAGCTATCGTTGTACTAACAATCTCTGTGGAGGTGTTGATCCTCGCCTAGCCATTCTTAAAAATGCGATCACAAAGGTAAGATATCTTGCCTAATACTTTAATTTTTTTTCATTACTTTATAAATTAATGTTAATATTAATTATTGTTATTAATTAATATCGTGATTTAAGAAAGTAGGCAACGTATCTGGTGTACCATCGTGCCGAGCGTGCCCTAAATGTGGCACAATTATCGAACACGACAGCAAATGCAAACATATGATATGTCCCTGTGAGCAACAATTCTGGTATTTATCTTAATATTGATAATTCAATCAAAATAAAAAGGTATGAATCTCTGAACTAATTCTTGATATATCGATCTATAGTTTCATTTGCCTCAGCCTTTATGACCCGACAACCGGCTGGAAATGTGGTGAATTCAATAGTCCATGCACTATTGCCCCCGTGCAAACTGTTCTCCCTGGTTCTTAATATCCTTATTCCATATTGATGCGGAATGCATTTTTTTGACCCTTATTTTTTAAGAAAAATGTTATCACTTTTCTATTATTATAGCTATGATCAAGATTGTTAGATCGGTCACAGAGCATATCATAAATCTTTTGTTTTATAAGTAGCTTACCTGGTTCTTTATATTTTAAAGTCTTGATTTTGTTTTTATTTCCTTTCAAATTTTATATTGAAGTCGCAAAACAAAAGGATTATTGTTTTAAAATCTTCATTTTTTACAAGTTGAATTTTAGTATGGGTGAGCTCACTCTATTATGATCACATGTACATATATATAAACAGATCAAAAATGTCCACCTTTTCCAAAATTTACCCAGCCATACTAAATAAGATCTAAACAAAATCAACATGATTTAGAAATATTTTATCCTTAGCTCTATCGAACACTATGTAGATCATAATAAATCAAATTAAAATAAAATCTAAGATTTTTTTTAAGTCCTAAAACCCATTTAAACTTTCTATCAAATATCCTGTTTCTAAATCTAACCAAAACTAAAGTCTCCAAAAAAAAGGATATTGTAATTTATCGTTATAACAATGTATCACTTGGCCGAATACGAGACACTTCTTTTGGGATATTGGTATTGGCCGAATATGTGACCATTTTATTTTTAAGTTTCTCAAGATCTCCAATTTAGGAGTTTGTACATATAAAGAAGTTCTATATAGTGTTTTCTACGCTATTCCTGATCGACTAATTAGAAAGCAAGATTAGGTACAATGTAAAATCAAAGCAAAAACATGGTTTTTTCTGAAAATCATTTGTAACTCAATTTTTCCTATAAAGCCCTAATTAAAAAAAATTCTTGCAATATTTTACATAGGAACGATTTTCCTAAAGCTACATGTAACTTTAGATTAATGTAATACCTAACCTTAAACTATCGTATTATTACATATATTAAAGAGTGAAATCCGCGATGAAGTAGGTTATGTTATTGATGCAGATCTTACTTAATTAGGGTTAGTGATAGGTTAGTTACTATTTTTGATAGTGACCTGCGAGTTTCATCCTGTCGTATTACCGTTAGCCAATTTACCAGAAATGGGGAACGTCTAACTCATATTAATAATTTTCTCGATTAACTTTATGGTTAGGGTTATCATCCGGTGATATTGCCAGAATATCATTGGTTAACCGAAATTATTCCAAGACATCATTTTATACGAAACTAATTACTATAATGATTATTACTACCGTAACGATTAAACACATAAAATGTATGAAATTAAATTGATATGAATAAATATATTACTATGAAACCTAACAACCCAAGTCTAAGCACAGCCAAATAGAGTCATATAATCCAAGATTTATCAAAATAAAAACAAAAGCACAAAAAAAATTAAAAACATGAAACATTTATTCTAAGAGATGATAAAACTATATAAACAAATTTTTAATTGTATATGGGTGTCGCCCAGTAAAAACAGGACTTTAAAAATAGACTTCTTTACATAACAAAATGCGGACTCTGACTAGGATAATAAACTATACTGTTTTCAATCACATGTTTGTATCGGTTAAAGTCCATATTCTGTTGTCTAAAGAATCCTATCTTTAGAAGTCTTGATTTCACTTGGCAGCACCATATAATAACAGTTAATTAATGCCAAATGAATTTGATCTAAGTTCATAATTTTAGACGCATTATTATGTTTAGGCGAGACCAAGTTTATTCTCTGTTTTACATTACCCCCCACTCACCCCTCCTACCTCCCTCCTACTACATAGTAAAAAAAAAATTTATCTATAAAAAAATTTTTAATAGCTCTAATATTTGAAAAAAACCTATAATTTATGTTTTTATCTTCGTTATTTTGATTTTTATTTATATACTTTTCATACTTACATAATAATTTTTATAGATTCTATATTAATTTATTTATTATTAAATAATATATAGGTTATTAAATGTCGAAGTATTTGATAATATTTAGGAATTAATGATCTTTTTTTAGAATTACCTTTGCCGACCTTCATTTCAATTTGAGTAAAATAGTCTTTTCCTAATTCTTTACATGATTCGTAACATGGATAAACCTTTTTGTATCTAGTTGTTAATGAATTTGGAATATCAGATAAACCATCCATTGCTTCACACTAATATCAAAGTTGAATTTGATCACCTTTTGTACATATATAATAATTTGCTTCAATAAGTAAATTACAAGTAAAAGTTCACAAACAAAAAGAGTATTATATAATGGATGTTCTTCATCTAAAATTGGACCATCACAGGTATATAAATTATTTTGAAGTACTAACTGCCATAGTGATTCCTCATTTCATTAAGAATATTTTGACTATATAGGCAATGCATTTACCACAAGTTAAACATTTCACCTATCTACTAATATTTTTGTGTATATAAAGATCATTAGGATTATGCTCTTGTCTTTTTTGTTTTAACAATAAGGATAAACAATTATACTTATTTGTTTGAATTCTATATTTAGAATTAAATAAACTATAATAATTTAACTTTACATATTTAAAATATTAATAAATAAATAAATTAATAATTAACTAACTTAAAAAATTAACAAACTGTCTACAGAAAGAGTAGGATCTGACAAAAAGCTATGTGAATTAAACTTTTTAATTGGCATTCTAAAGTTTACAAAAAGAACAACTAGCTTGCATATTTTTTAATCTGAAAATAGATATTTATATTATTATATATTATAATAATTAAATAATTAATTTAAACATATTAATCTAAAAAGAATATAATTATTGTTGACAATGAGTTTTAAGAATTTTATTAAGTTTTTATGTTTTTATAATTCTGTTTATATTGTTTTATAAATTTGAAAAGATTTATCAATATGTTCTATTTTCTATAATATAAATAATAATTAATTAATTTTATTTAAAAATTTAAATAAATAAAGGTTTACTTTAAATAATTGATTTATTTTATTTTATTTTATTTTATTTTTTGCTTTTGCTAAGGCGAATGTTATCAGTAGCTACCATCTTTATTTGTGTTTTTAGTCAATTAATGCATTACAAATAACTTATATAAAATAAGTATGCAACTAGTCACATATGTAATTTTTGGTTACCTATTTAAGTAATCCATCTAGAGGTTCTACACTAGATGCTATATCTGTAATCTACTAGAAGATTACCTATTTAAATACTTTGATTCTTATACTGCATCTAGACAAGTAGTACTTAATTCTTATACATCTAAGTGCCATCTAATCTAACATTAAGTTACCTTTTTTGTATGTCTGTTAAACTGTTATACATTTTAGAATACATTATCTGACTGTAAGATACAAGGTGCTTTTTTGTTAACTATCCACCTATTCCATAGAATATTAACAAGGTTAGCTTTTGTAGAGTTTATCCAAATTCTAGTATCTACTTTATATCATATATTTAGTATTTTGTATATTTTTGCTTTGTTTTCAGACTTCTAATTTAGATACCTTAATAGAACTGTAATCTGTTCTTAGTATATTAAGCCAGCTTGATATTCTTTTTCTTTAGTTTGTTTCTGGCAGCCTAGTTGATAGTATTCCTTACCTTGAGGTTCTTACTTATCTAGTTTCTCTATATTGATATTTATTTTTTAGATCTAGTCTTTACAATAGTACCATTAAAGATTTATGTTATCTTTCTATTTAGGCCTTTTCAAATAGGCTTAAGTTTTTTCAATTCTATGAATTTACATATTTACAAAAACTTATCTAAGTTTGTACTACCTGAATGATGCATTTTTCTGTATGATTAATGTTACCCAAATGCTCTATAACCTGCCAATTATGCTGATGTAACTATAGTTATAGATATCTTATTTCAACTAATTAACAAAAAAGCAATTGCTGCAATATATAAGTATTATATAAATAATAATTCAAATTTTTACTATTAGTAAGTTTTGAACTTACAACCTACTACTTGAAAAGTTAACAATTTATCTATTTTACTAAGTTATTATACCTCTTTTAAATAATTTATTAATTTTATTTTCAAAAATAAAATTATAACATTTAAATAAATTATTATTTAAAACTAATCATTAAGTTTTTTATATAAAATATTTTTAATATTTATAATACAATTTGTTAGTTTAATTTTTAAAGATTCATTATTTTAATTGCTTTTTAAATTGTTTCTATACTATCTAATTGTTTGAAAATTTTTTCTTGTTCTAAACTAAGTTTATTATATGCTAAATTAATATTTAGTAATTCTAAATTAAAAATTAATATAAATTTCTTGGCTGAATTTGTCTAACTATAATATAGAGCAGTTTTTATTACAATAATTATATTAAAATTACTTTGAAAAAATAATAAATTAAATAAAATCTGAACTGATTTAAAATTTGTTCTATAATTAAGACTATTATTAGTATATAAATATAAAATTAATAGTATTTTATTAAAAAAGTTATAACTAATTATTTGAAAAAATTAAGTTATATATTGAAATATATTACTACTTTCAAATATAGTATTTTTATATTCTATATAAACATTTCTATTATAAAAAGAATTAGAAATATTATTTAAATTTTAAAAAAAAAATTACTAATAATGTAATTAACAACTTAGTAAAATTATGATTATAAGTTAAAAGTTGACTATTAATTAAAACAATAGTTGATTAATTTCTAACTTTAGTTAATATAGAAATTTTTTTTCTAATTAGAATTTTATTTTTATTATTAACTAAGCTAAAACATACAAATTTTTAATAATATGCTATACAATAATATGTATTAGAATAAAATTTTGAAACTATTAACTTTGAATTTTATATTTAATCTCAAATTTTTTAGTATGTTGTATAGTATAATTTGGTGTTGAATTAGTTGGCCAAATTTGTAGTTAAATTTACTTAGTACTTAGTATATAAATTATATCAAAAAGTGGATTTTCATATTTAAGTTTAAGATAAGAAATAATAGTTTCTTGAAGGTTACATATAGAAATAATCTATAGTATATGTAAAATTGCTTTATAATATCTATTATTTATAGCAGAAATATTCTATTTAAATTAAATAATTAGTATTTAAAATATAACTTAGATTATAAAATAATTAAACTAAATACTTTATTAAAAAAGTCTTGCAATTTAGTCCAAAATATATTAAATTTTAATTTTTTAAATCTGTTATTTTTTTAGAAATTAAAAATAATATTTAGATCTTTAAGTTTTAACATTAATTTTAATTGTTTTTATACATCTTTACTAATTGAATCTAAGCAAATATATTATTAGTAATATTATAAAATAGCATATTAAAAATACTTGAATTTAAATTTTTTTAATAAATATTAAATAAATTAAATATAATATAAATAAGCATATAATATATAAATATTTTTTTATATTAGATTTAATAATTACTTTATTAATAATTTTTTTATTATTATTTAGATTATATATAATAAAATTATTTAATAATGGCAGCAATTATTTGGAAATTATATATTTTATATTATTAGTACAGTCAAATTTACTAATTTACTAAATATAGTTAATATTATCAAGATAATTTTCTTGATTATATCTAATAAATTTTTTTTTAGTATTAAGATAAGGTTTTGCTTATATTTTTATTAATAATTTTAACTATATATTTTAGTACAAAAGTACTAAAATAAACTAAGATTATTTGTAACAAAATAATAATTATATGCAAGAATAAAAGCTTAGACTAGTTTATCTGTAATTTAAACTGACTATAGTGGTTAAGGTCTATCTAGATTTGAAGTATTAATATATAGTTAGAAAGAATATTGTATTTAATCTAGAGAAATGACTAGATGTTAAGTTTTTTAATTGCTTGACTAATTGATGAACATATATTGGGTTGTAAATAAAGTTGATCTGCAATATTATATAGACATAAGTATATATAGGCTTAATGATATTGTTTGAAGTTACTATAATATTAATAAGTAGCTGCACAACAGTATTACACAAAACCAGAAACAAAAAAAATCTACACAGACACCATTTCAGTCATAGAAAACTATATTCTTCATTACAATCCATTTCTGAACAAGAAAATAACTATTTATAAAATAAGGTGATTATACTTGCAATATGAATATTGGTTTGAATTTCAGTAACTGAGCCTAAAAACCTATGAATAAAGTCAATATTTAACTGCTATATAGTTGGTTAGCTAGCATCATCTAGTTCTATTGAATTTGAAAATATTAAAAATCTACAAAACTTATCTGTATTTAGAAATGATTGACAAATTCTTTTGATTAAGTTCTTAATAATCAGTGATTATTATTTTATCTGCCTGATAAAAAATTCAATGAAAAAAATGAAAATTACCAAATATTTAGCATTAAGGCCTTTAAATTTATATTGGGACACTAATTTTTGCATCTAAAAAATCTATTTTTACTATTATTTGTTATAGCATCTTCGATTTTACAGATGTATATATTCATTATATTTTTTTAAAAAATATTGAATGATAAATAAGTCATGCAAACCAATCAATTTCAAAATTTTGCGTAAAAAGGCATTTGTCTTAATATCTATCTTTTAAAGTATTATTCAGGATGCTACACACAGCATGATAAGAGATTACTCAATTATATACAAAGAATTACACAGACACCTGTAAACTATATATTAAATATTAAATTCTTACATATACAGTCTGTGAATATACCAAATTAGGAAATTGCATTCTAGAATGATCTACAAGCCAATTCTTGAATTTGATTGGCTCTTACATGCCTTTTATCCCTCAAAAATCGTGCATTCAAAAAAAAATTTTTTTGATAGTTATTAGAGCCTAATAAGCTTTGAATATGTATTTCAAAGCATATATTTTCAATAATCCCAAATAATCCTGTGTAGTAAACTTTTTTAGTCAAAGTAAATAAGACGTTAAAATAGGTATTTATTTTACATAGAAAGTTCAGAATTGCTGTTAGTTAGCTCAAGATCATTTTAAAATTTTAGTATTATATTTTGAAGTTTTTAATTTATTTACATTATAATAATTTTTCTAGTTTAATTTAATTGTAAATGCATAGGTATTAGAAACAATTCATGAAAAGAAAACACAACATTCAATATAAATTTAGTTACAAGTTAATATATGGATGGGTTGTATACAGTAATAATATATACGAGTAATATTGCTGTATTGTTTAATTGTATAGACTAAATATTTGTATTAAATAATCAGTAACAGTTGTAGTAATTAAATGGGATATAGTTACCATTTAGAATATTTAATAAAAGTAAAGCTTCACTTATAGCTTTGCTAATGCTAATACTATAATAAGTTATTTTATATATAAAATTTTTTTGATCAATTTGATTGGTTAATGTTATGTGTCATAAAATCTAGAATCTTCTGATTAACATCTTTATACTATAAAAGGTGCGATCATTAATATTCATTTTTGGTATATTCCCAGACTGATATATAAGCACATATGTAATAGTCATACTACTAGTATAAGGTGTAAAATAGTATGTGAAAAATAGGCAACATATAACATTATATAATAAATAGAGTCATGTGAACCAATCAAGTGCTGAGAATCACACAGACACATTA